GCAGGAGGAGGCAGCACGTGGGGTGAGGATGGGAATGGGATTAGGCAGCTGACGCCCTGTCCAGACGGCCGGCTGTGGGCAGGACATCTGTGCACACAGCTGAGGGCACCAGGTGGCCGACACTTCCGCCTCACCTCAGATCTGCCTCGGGGCTGCCCTACACCCCTCTCCTAGAGAGAGCTCCAGGGAGCCTGAGAACTCTCGCCCTGGGGTCTGGCCTTGGCCTACGTTGGGGGCCCGGGAAGACCCCTGCCAGGGATGGAGACACTGGGCAGGCTGAGGCTGCACGGAGGCCCTCGGTCCTCTGTGCTCCATGCAGGGGCTCCGCCCACCCGCACCCCACGCCTGCCTGCACAGGCCCCTCACTCCTTCTGCTGGTCACACAGGCCCTCATGAGCCAAGGATGGATGCCATCTCCACACCCACTTCCCCAGTCGAGGGAGCACTCCTCCTCTGGCTAGACCCTGGTCTCCCTCACAACCACTGCCGGCCTCACTTCCAGGGCCACCTCAAAGAGGCTGGCCCAGTTTCCCCACAGCTCCCTCACTGCCCTGTCCTGGATCCCTCCCACCCTCGGCTCCCACGCTTTCCTGCGGTGGAACCTGGGGTCTCCATGGACAGCATCTGTCCACAGCATGGTAGCCCCTCCTAATCAGGTCAGCCCAACCCCCCACTTCCGACTTCCCTGCTCTGTCCACTCTGCTCACAGCAGGAGCCCAGGCCCAGACACCCCCGCCCGCCAGCCCCCCACCCCCTACCCGCTGTGCTCCCACCACATGGTTCTCAAGCACCATGAAGCCTGGTGATCCAGGCCCCTCCTGCCTTATGCCCTCTCCAGGGGCCAGCTGAGTACCCCCAGACCAAGCAGCTGTCAGACCTGGGCGCATGGCCCCAAGGCATCCCCAGCCAGGAACGGGATAAACACACTGGCAGGCGGGACGAGGAGTGGGCAGCCCCTGCCCTTTACCCTGAGGGGCCTGTATCCTCATCAGTATCCTCCACCCCCATAACAGCAGCCTCCTCTGTGAGAACAGGCCCTCACAGAAGGTTCTTGTGAACAGGGGGAGACCCCCCCCAGACACCCACCACATGCTAGGATGTGGAAGCACCTGGGGGTGCCACCACCTCCATGTGTAGGGACAAGTGTCTGCCTGCTCGGGGATCAAAAGACAAGGTTCTCTACCCAAGAAGAAAGCCAGAATAAGTAAAGAGCTCTTACAACTCAACAACAAAGACAAACAACCTGACTAAAACAGGCAAGGAACACAATAGATGCTTCTCCAAAGATTATATACAGGGCCAAAAGCCACAGAAAGTTGCTCAACACCATTAGCCACCTTGTACGTGTATGTCAATACCACAAAGAGACGCCCCTTCACACCCACGAGGGTGTCTAGAACCAGGAAAATATAAAACAAGTGTTGTGCATGCTGCAGGATGCCAAACAGCACAGCCACTTAGGAAGACAGTTTGGCAGCTCCTCAGAAAGTGAGGCACAGATGACCACAGGACCCAGTAGCCTCACTTCTAGGTGCAAACCCCCAAAGAGCTGAAGACCCAGGTCTGCTCAAGGAAAAGAAATGCTCACACTCCCCTGTTCACAGCAACACTGTCCAAACAACCAGACAGCCGAAATAGCCCAACTATGTGTCAGCTGACAGCGCTTTGGAACACCTGTCTGTTCATCCCACGGAGGAAGTCAGACAAGGGGCAAGCACCAGCCAAGCTCGAGGTGGAGGACCCTGGAAATGACACCGGGGAGGAGCCAGACCAGGAAGGTCATGCAGCATGTGCTTCTGTTGATCGGAGGTGTCCAGAGCAGGAAAATCCACAGGGACAGCAGAGCAGTGGCCATGGGGCCAGAGGAAGAAGAGGGGGGCTGAGTGTTGGACAGGATGAGTTTTCAACCCTGAGGGCAAGGTTCTGGAATTAGTGATGGCTGTGGGTGGACCAAAGGCTCCCAGTTGAAGAACTCGACGGGATGGGGGTCATATCCAGCCCAGCCTCAGCAGCCCTACACCACTGGACCCCTACGGCCCCTCCTGGCCTGAAGCACCCAAACTTTGCTGCTTGTGCTGGTTCCAAGACCATCAACTCACGCTGATGTCTGGCCTGCTGTGAGGATGCGGCTGGGGACACCAGACCTGCAGCAGGCAAGAGAGGCAGGACCTGGCTTGCAGAACTCCATCAGGGCCCAGCTTCCCACCTCTGTCTCCCAAAGTGGCCTGCAAATGTTCCCTGAGTGATACAGAAAGCAAGGGGTCAAACCCAAACCTAGCCCCAGGTGTATGATATGCCTTCTGTGTCTTCTAAGAAATCAAGTGGAAAGTCCCATGCTCCGAGGTTCCTGCAGGGGGCTGGCTCTCCCCTGCACAGCACCCCTAAGAGGAGGGCTGCAAGCTGCCCAGGCCTGCCAGGAACAGCCCCAAGACCTTGAGATCTGGACTCTATACCCTTCTAAATACAAAACATCCCAGCAGGGGGACACCCCAATCTGTTCTAGACTTTCACCCACTGGGCCCTTCAGATTCATCCCCTCACCTGAGAATTCCGGGAGATGGGCAGGGGACAAGGGAGTCAAAGTCTGAAACCCACCCCCATGGCCACCAGGGGAGGACCCGGGTCTGTGACTTGGGGCTGGGCAGCCAGGCCCAGGAGCACAGGCATGTTGGCAGCCCTAGGAGAGCCAGATGGGAATGCCACCTGCTAATCAGGCTGAGATGCAGAGCTGGGCCAAGGGGGGAAGAGGAGAGCCCCTTCCGCACAGCCAGGGGCCAATCTGGAGGGGTCCAGCAGTGGGGTGGCCAGAGGCCTGGAGAAGGGAAGGGCAGCCTAAGGTTGGGTTGCAGCTCAGGGAGGGGGCAGGGAGGGCTCCCGCTGGCCACGTGACCCTCCCCGGGGCCAGCCTCTCCTCTCCGGGTTCCTGGGCTGTAACTGGAGCTGCGTTCCTGCCTGGGAGCCTCGTGCCAGGCAGAGCTTTGGAGAGGGGGAAGGGAGAAAAGAGCCCTAGATTCCAGTTTCTTCTCCCTGCTCCCTGTCCACTCCAAGCTGGGGAGGGATGTCCAGAACACCCACACCCGCAGGGAGATTCCACCAGGCTCCTCCCGCAGCTCAGGCCCTGTGGAGTCTCTCAGCACTTGGGAACCTATCTCCTCCCTTGGCTGGGCTAGGAGCAGACCTTCAGCCCCCAGCCTGCCTTCCTCCACAGCTTATTAGGAATCAACTCAAGGGAAGGCTCAGGGCACCCAGCCTGTCCCCTGGCCCAGGGAGGAGCCTACTCTCAGTCCACTAGAGCCCAGTGTCCCCCTACTTTGTGCCCCTACCGAGCACATCTGCTCTCAGCCCCCCTTACAGGACAGCTACCAGGAGAGCTATACTTGAGCAGCACTCAGAGGGGACTCCCTTGAGGGGTCCTTTGAGGCCACACAGCTGGGCAGAGGGGCTGACCAGGAGAGACACAGTGGCACTGAAACCATTACTACCTGCACATGGCCAGCAGCCAGGATTATTAGGGAGCTGTAACACACAGGCACAGCTAAAACTGCAAAGCTTGGGATGGAGGCCCAGGATCCCATCCTCCCCATCTTCGTGGGTCTGAGAGATCCCAGGCAGAGCAAACCTGCTGCCCAGACAAGCCCAGGGTGTGTCAAGAGCCTGGTGAGCAGAGCCTCTTGGCCGAGCTGGAGAGTAAGGCACAGCTGGCGGATAAGGCTGTGTGTGACTCACGGTGGACCTGTGGCCAGACGGCCATTCTCCGGCCCTCCCTCCTGCCTCCTGCCCCAGGGGTGAGGCTCAGGGCTCCACAGATGGCAGGCAGGGGCTATACCCACAGTCCGAGCCAGGAGAGGGCCAGGGTGGGGACCCCAGGGGAACCAAGACACGAAGCTGACCCTGGAAGACAACCCTGGAGAAAGGAACAGACAGAAAAGGAGGAGAAAGAAAAACACAAAGGGAAAGTTTCCCATGAAAATATTTTATTTTCTTTGAGAACAGGATACACCTGCAGGGCTCTTCGGCCCAGGCCGGCCTCTCCCTGCCCTGGCGGGTGCCAGATTCCTGGACCAACGGGGCCCTCTGCCGGCGAGGCTGCTGCAAGCGCCCGCGCCTGGGCCAGAGGCTAGGGAACAGGTGACCGCGGAGGGCGGCGGCCCTGGAGCGGCCCAGGGCGCCCAGGAGGCCGACGAGGACCCAAGGAGCTAGCCAGGGCTCCCAGGGGCGGCGCCCGGGGAGGGGGGAGAGAGCTGGGGCGCTGCCTCACACTCTGGACCTCCGCATGCCCAAAGCGCAGCGTGGGTCCTTCTAAAGGTCGCTGGGTTCAGACATCCCAGACCTGAGAAAGGGAGGAGATGGGGAAAAGGGGGGAAAAGAGGGGGGTGGAGGGCTGACGCGCCGACAGTGCCGCAAACTGCTATGTCAGAGACTCAAAACTGGGTAGCGACCCGCGGGACAGCGGCGTCCTCTGCCCTGGCCAGGTCTCACAGACGCGCTCCCAAGGGCCAGGGTTGGGGCCCGGGCGGGCGTCAAAAGCAACGCGCAAGAAAAATAAATTTCTCTGGCTTGGAGGGTTTTCTTTTCCCCCTTTGGGGCTCAGTGCAAGGAACATCTGGATTTTGTACGTATTTTTTTGTTGTTGTTAAATTAACTTCTCGAGGAGAGAAAGGGGGGTGGGTGGGCAAGGGCCGGGAGGCTCCAGCCTTTTGGCAGGAACTCCGCGGCCTAAGGCGCCGACGGCGACGACTCTGGGGTCACGGAAGACCTCGACCCTGCGCAAGCCCGTCGGGTATGCCGGCCTCTCTACCCCCAGTGCGCAGCGGGGGGCACCGACCCACGGATCGAGCGACGCGCGAGCCGCAAACAAACAGCTCCAAGCAACCCGGGAGCCCCGCTGAGCGCTGGCCCGGGCACCCAGACCGCGCGAGCCCCGGGGCTCCGGGCACCCCCGCCCCGGCCCCGCCTTCCCCGCCCGCCGGCGCGCGCGGCCGCCCGCCCAGGGCACCTACCCGAAGTAGGCGGCCGAAGGGCGCAGCGCAGCGAGCAGCAGCGTCAGCCCGAAGGCCGCGGCCAGCCAGCGCGCCAGCAGGGACCCATCCAGCATCTTGCCGCGCCGCGGCGGCGGACCATCGCGCTCCCGGCTCCGCGCAGGGTGCGCCGCGGCCGCCGCCCTCTTATAGCGCCCGCAGCAGCGGCCGCGGGGCGGGGCGCCAGCCAGCTGGCCAGGCCCGCCCTGCGCCCGGGAGGAGGGGTCACGCCGGCGCCGGGGGCGGGCCGAAACCCGAGCCGCGCGCCCCGCCTGCCGCCCGCTCTGCCTGGCCGCTCCCGGGGCGGGTCTGGGGCGCGACCGCCGGGAAGGGAGGGGCAGGCCTGCCAGAGCGGTGGGACCCGCAGAGGGTCCGCTACGGGAGGTAGTGTGGGGGCCGGGTCCCGGAGGGCCAGAATCGTGTATCCGCAGCGGGACAGCCCGAAGCAGAGCAGAAGCTGGAGCTCAGGGAGAATTTGGGGCGGGATGAGTGTCGGCCGCCCGGGGCTAGAAGGCCAGGGGCGGGGACGGGAAAGGCTGGAGAGCCGGGTGCGACTGCGAGGAAACTTGGACCGCTGTGCGGCGGGGGGGGGGGGGCGGGGGGGGGGGTGGACATTGGCCGCGAGGCAAAAACGCGGGCGCGAGTCCAGGACTCTCGAAGGGTGTTGAGTCTGGGGCCGCTGCTGCCTGCGCGGAGTTGGGGCACCCAGGCAACCAAGTACGAAGAGGAAATGGAAATGGGACTTCCAAGGAAGGAGACCCAAGAGGCTGTTCCCCATAGTGGTTACCGTGGACGATTTGGGCCTGGGTCCACTCCGGTGCGATCTGGTCCCTTAGGGCTTCTGACTCTCCATCGTTAGGTTGAGCAAGAAGAGCTAGCACCTGAAGTCACCGCCAGCCCTGACCATCAAGCAGCCGTTCCCAAGAGCCCATGTCCTCACCATCCATGAGGATGGTGAATGAAGGGTGACTCTTGGGGATCAAGGTGCTGGAGTATGGAAGCATGGACTACCAGTGCCTCATTCAGATCCGTTTCTGGAGCAAGAGCAAGATGGTGTCAGAGAATTCAAAGCCTAAATTAAAACAGATACAGTTATTGGATTGACCAATGGATGGACCTACCTTGGCATTGAGAAGGCTCAGAAAAAGTCCCCTGGAGAGGAGGCCTCTGCATTGTGTATGTTTGTGACCATACAGCAAGGGACTGGGGATCAAAGCTGCCTGGTCCAGGCATGTAGGTGCCCTGGCAGTGCCCGCTTCCTCACCTGGACACCTTCAGTGCCTGAAGCACCCCATACTGAAGCCACTGTCAGAGCCTGAGACTCAGAGTATGGGTCTCAGAGCCCTGGGCCCACCAGGGGGCGTTCTGCTGCTGGCCCTAGTGTGGGCCAGCACCCTTTGAGCTAATTCTGGCCTGCAACCTCCCAGTATGAGTTCCGGAGCACCTCTGGAGGCCTAAGCTCTTCAGCTGTGAAAACCTACCACTCGCTTTCTGTGGCAAGGCAAAAGCAAAGGAGGAGACAGGAGCAGAACCTGCACTCATCCGATGGTCCAAGCCAAGCCTTGGCAGGCTGGCCTGCCATGTGAGCATGCTGTATCCTGCCAGAGGAGCTCACGCTGGCTGTGTGGCTGGGTAGGGGTGGGCAGAGAGCAGCCGCCTGGGCAGGTCACTTCCTCTCTGAGCCCCCTTCTCCCATCTGAGACTCATCTAACTCCAGTGAATGGTGGCTCTTTCCAAATTGTGATGTCACCTTGTAGCCCAGGGTCTGCCTTTTTGTTAGGTGTGACCAGCTTCACATCATTCCCATTCCCGGGACCCCTCCCCTGCCCTCTTCTGCTCACACTTTGCCAGGCCCCCCAATAGGGCTCTTGCAGCAAAGAAGCACAGAAAGCAGCCCCGGCTCACCCCAGCTGCAGTGCCCAGTGTGGCTCCCAGGACTTCCTTCCACCTGAAGGCCTGGCTGCAGTCAGGGAAGAGAGGCAGTGGAGGGGCAGCCCTAGGAAGCAGGGGATGGGAGACCCAGAGCGATGACATGTTTAAAGGCATGAGATTGCTTCCAAGAAAAATGACGTGTGAGATTGTAAATGTGTGTCACAGGGCACTGCGGGTGTTACAAAGCTCCCTTCCAGCCAGAGTGGAGCTCTGTCACATTGGCCACCCAGTGAGTCCCTGCTGAAGGAGGCAGCTAGCCAGCCAAGGAGCAGAGAGCTCCCTGGACCCCTGAGCCACACTGGGTGTGAGGGGTTCTGGCAAGGATTCATGCACTCAGGAAGAGCTTTGCTTTCTTTAGTGGTGGTGGGATAGGGTTAGAGAGCTGAGTGAGGGGAGCTGCCTAACCAAATTCCCACTTGAAGCCCTGGCCCAGCTCCAAGCAAGAACATATCAGACACCCCACGGAACCAGAGCATGTGGGTGACTGGGCCCAGGGTACGTGGGTGGCAGGGCTTGTGCCCAGTGTAGGGTAATGCCAGAGCTACCTGAGGGCCTGGGAGACCACCCCAGCTCTCAACTGCCCATCCCTGGGGAGATGCCACCACTGTCCTCACCCTAAGTGGGCCCCAGTAGACCCTCCTTGCCCTGTGAGCCTCAGGCTTCACACCTCATCAGGCCACCATTGCCCAGGAATTGCCCGCTCCACCCTACCCACAGAAGAGGTGGGCCTTCCTCACACCAGGACAAGCTTGAAGCAGTTCCCTCTCCCTCACAGGCCCTTAAGGTGCTTGTGGAACCCAGACTTCAGATAGGCCCAGGGTGCTGCATGCCCCTGCTCACTTCTACCTCACCCAGCCTACCCTGAGCACCCTTGTCCACTGGGAACACTGTGGCTTGTGGGCCCTCGGTATCTGCCCAGCTGTCGCCAGTGGCCCACACCAGGGTGGAAGGCAGCTGCTCCTTGGAGGTGTAGCCGTACCTGCACAGCCAGTTCCAGTCCCTGAAGGTAGGTGCAGAGGGCAGAAAGCTGAGGGAAGGGGCCGTGGGGCTGCACCAGGGGAGACAACTGTTGCAATTTTAGGTTTTTCTGATGCTGGACAGAATGGGGGACCCATCGGGGGCCACTGAGAAGGCAGAAGTGAATTCTCAGGGGAGAGGTATTGACAGGCACCTGCCAGGCTACCTCCGTGGGATCTAAACTGAGCCCCAGAGGTTTGGCAGAATTCACCAAAGGCACTTGGAAAGCTAGGGAGAAAAACAGCCCCTGCTCCACCACGTGCCGGGGTTTCCCTGGCTCTGGGCAGTGTGTGAAGGGGCTTTTCTCCAGGCAGACAGACTCTCCTCATCTAGTGTTCTATGCTCTGGCTGATGGCTAAGTGCCCCCCTTATTTCTGTTGGAGCCATGGCCTTCCTTGGATGGGAGGCCTGCCATCCCCCACTTCAATCATCCAGGCCTCTGAAGTCATCCAAATAAGGGGGCAGGGGGCTGGACAAGATCCCCTGGGTCCACGGTCAAGAGCAAAGTTCCATTCAGATCCTAGATATGCAGCCACAGCTGCTCAGCTGATCCTGACTCAACCAGCTTGCAGGCCAGAGCCCCTGAGGAGAGGAGAACCCCATGACCATTATTCCTGCTGCGCAGGGCCCCTTACCAAGGGACCACCTGCTGGAAGGCCATCAGACCTTCAGGGACCAGGGGACACTGGCTCTGGCCTACTTCCAAGGACCCACAACATCCCCTGGGCCCTCCAGTGAGAACACAGGCTTGTGGGGGCGGCTGATCTCTGCAGTCGGAGACTCCTCACCGTGGGTCCCCAAGTCCGTCTCATGGTCATTGCAGGAATAGACACTCAGCAGCTGGCAGACTCCCCAGGATGTGAGGGAGAGTGAGCATGGGTAAGGCCAGGCTGGTGTGTCCCTGCCCACCATGCCTGGCATTGGGAGCAGGGGAGCAAGGCCCCGAGGGCACAGCCCCAGGCTTGCTGAAGGGAGGGAGGAGCCCCCACAGTGAATCCTGCTCCTGAAAGGAGAACCGGTGGGAGTGGACACCCCCACCTGAGTCCTCCACACTTCCAGCCTTGGAGACCCCTGCCCCTGAGGGTTTGGATTCAGTATCTGAGGATGACAGCCAGGGCATCTCGGGGAGGCTGTGGGGCCTGGTCAGTTCACACTTTGCATGAGCCCCGCGGCATTTGGGCCCACCAGGACCCCAGGCAGGGGAGGGCCGCTGCCTCCCTTGGTCAGGCCCACCACACATCTCTTCCAGGCCTGTCTGGATTCTGGACAGCATAGGGCAACCGTGGAGGCAGCGTGGTCCAGGAGGCTCCTGTGACCCCAGCAATGGGCCCCTCTCCGAAGCCAGGATTCCCTGTTGGACAGAAGCTCAGAGAGTGAAGGAAAGAAAAAGAATGAAAGAGAATTATCATCATCATCATCATCATCATCATCGGAGAGACCGACAAAAAGGGGCCAAGTGTGGGAGGAGGGGGAGGAGGCACATCAGGTGAAAGGGAGGAAGAGAGTGCGGACTGCAGAGGACCCACTGAAGAGAGAGGTGAGCCAGGAGGCAGCACAGGTCCCCCAGCTGCGCACCCTCTGGGCCTGGGTCTCCAAACACCTGGAAGCGTGAGAGAGGGCTGGGCTCCAGGGCTCTACGCTCCCTGCTGGGGCTTCTGGAGGCCTGGAGAGGGGCGGGCTGCTGACTGGGAGGGGAAGCAGAGTCAGGTGGTCGGGAGCAGGGGCCTGGGACCACTTACCAGGAAACACTGCCTAACTGGGAGGGTTTATGAGGCCAGGCAGGGGGTCTCCCTGGGGGAGACGCAGAAACCGTGCATGAGTCATTTGAAATGGAGCTGGACAGAGAGCCCAAGGAGACATGATCCCACCCAAACTGCCAGCGTGGGTGGGCTGAGCTTGGGCTGTGACAGGGGGGGGGGGGGGGGGGGACAAGGGAGCAGAGGAGACAGACGCCAGAGAAAAGGGGAGGGAAAGCCGACAGGGGAGGAGAGAAAGGGAGACAGCAGAGAGGTGGGGAGAAGGAACCCCAGGGCCCACCTGGTCAGGCCTGGACAGCTGAGCCTGTCCAACTAACTCAGCCAACCCAAGTCCCTGCACAGCCAGGCTGCCCCCTGCAGGTCAAGGGAGAAAGCCAGCATCCTAACCACCATCCCAGCGACCATCCTAACTACCATCCCAGTGACCATCCCAACCACCATCCCAGTGACC